CAGGGCGGGGCCTTCAGCCACCTTTACGCCCATAGCAGCAGGACTCCGCTCCACGGAGGTTCAACCATTAGGAGCGGAACAGGTTCAGGCCATGATCACTCAGGCTCTGACTCAGTTCATGGCCACTTCTGTCCCACACCATCTGCCTCAAACACCAGCCTCACAGCCTCCGCTTCGCCCAGGCTTGCCAGACCTCATAGAGGACACCTCATCGGAGTCAGGATCAGAGGACTACGACTCCTCTTGTCTGATCCTATCAGATGATGAGGTCACTCCGGCACTGGATCCAGTACCATCTACTGGATTCTTCAATCACTCCCTCTTCAATTCCTTGCTTCTCAAGGCTTGCACCACAGCCAACTTACACCAGAACAGGGGGCCACGGCCCCTTCCACCTCAAAGGGCCCAAATGCCATATATGCTGAACCAGTGGTGCCACAGAACCATGTTCCATGTCCCCCCTTCTTCCTCAACGCGGTGCAGAAGCAATGGGATAATTTGGGTTCACTTCCCAGTCCGGGATCCATTGAGAAGAGCATGTTCAATGTAGCCCCTGCCCTCGCCTCCTTCCTGGAGGTCCCGCAGGTGGATAAGCCTCTGATGTCACTGTTCCCCAACATCAACATACCAGGGGACATGCCCGAGGCGCTTAAGGCTAAGGATAAAAGGATTGAAACGGTGTTACGCAGATCACATCAGGCGATGGCATGGGCGATTAAGGCCTCAACATCCATGGCCATCTTTGCCAGAGCTTCAGTTCTATGGCTGTGCGAGCTTCAGGGCTTGGTTCCGCCTGACCAGCTTCGCATCCATCAGAACTTGGGCAAGCTAGTTGCCACTTCTCAGTACTTGGCTGACGCCTCATTAAATTCCACCAGGTACTCCGCACGTGCCATTGCAGTGGATGTTTTAGCCCGCAGACTCCTGTGGCTTAAAAACTAGCGGGCAGACCTCAAAGCCAAGTGGCGTCTCGCCACTAAGCCTTATGCGGGGGGTCATCTCTTTGGTGCGGCCCTAGGACCATACCTGATTGAAGGTAAGGATAAGCGCAAGTCTCTAGTTAATACTAATAAGGGAGACAAGCGCACAGGGGCCAGTTCAACCCAGGTCTTCCATCGCAGACAGTCCTTTTGGTCCAACCCTAGCTGGGACTGGTCTCAGTCCAATCACTCCTTCTATCAGAGGTGGGAGCGACATCAAGATCGTCCCGTGCCTAGAACCCGACCACAATTCCAGGGCAAGCGGCCATTTCGAGGCCAGGGAGCTCGCCCCCTCAGAAGAGGCAAGTGATCCCACAAGCATACCTCCCATAGGAGGCTGGCTGTCCCTTTACTATAACGCATGGGCAGCCACAACTACAGATTCTTGGGTTCTCAACACTATATCACAAGGTTTAATGTTAGAGTTTCGGGCACATCCTCCAGACCGTTTCCGGAGTTGCCTCGCCCCCATTAGTAGGAGTAGAGCAGCCCTCATGTTGGAGGCCATTTCCCACCTGCTACAAATACGGGCCATAGAACCGGTCCCGCAAGACCATGCAGGGCAGGGGTTCTACTCAACACTGTTTGTTGTTCCTAAGTCTTCAGGTGGCTGGAGAGCAATCCTTGATTTAAAGAAATTAAATCGTTACTTGATGTACAGGAAGTTCAAAATGCAATCATTACAGCCAGTTTTGGCCAGCATCCAGCGGGGAGACTTCCTAATATCAATAGATTCCCGGCTCTCTCTCTGTCTCTCTTACACACACACACCCTTCTTGTTTTCCCCTCCTCCTCCTTTTCCTCAGCTGCACCTGAAGGGCACTCTCCTGCTCCAAGGCACCCAGCTGGGTTGCGGTGGGCCAGGGCTGGGGCAGCAGGGGCCGGTCCTTTGCATTCTGGGACAGCCGGGGGGGGGGGAGACAAATCTGGGCCCTCCCTGGCCTGCAGGTCTTGTGTTTGACATGTCTGATCTAAACACAAACTCTCCACGTGGCATTTTAGTCCAACAACTGAAGCCTCTCTGCAGCCCAACCAATAAACTGGATCTTCTGTAGACCAGTCTCTCTTCCCCAAAATGCCCTGCAGGCAGTTATTGGAGCTCCCAGGCCTGTCCCTTGACCGGAAATTCTGTTATCTTTCTGAATATTATCACACAACCCCCTTGATCTCTTTGGAAAGCTGTTTGTAAAAAGCAGTGGAAAGCTTCTTTTTCAGTCACCAGAGAGGGAATCTGGGCAGGTAAGAGAGGAAGATTCAGGAGCTCCATCCCAAAGGAAGCCCACCTGGACAGGGCTGCCCATGCCAAGCCCATCTGGACGCCTCTCGGGTCTCCCTCACCCGCCTTCCAGACGCCCCTGGCCTCCTCCTAGCAGCCTTCTTGCCATGGGATGCTGCTCCCATCCTTTCTAGCAATGCAGTACTCGATGGTTGCAACTCCTGTTACCTCCAACACAGATGCCGCTTTCTAGTCGCAGATGCTGCCTATCTGACCGTCATCTCACTTGGCTCAGTTGCAAAGGACGGTCGCTGGGATGCGGAAACGACCGGAAAGCAGATAAATCAGCAAAAGCCTCTCTAGACGGCAAAGGCCCAGACGGGACAAGCGTGACTTCCGGCCTCCTATCGCGAGATGATGGCCAGCTAGGCAGCAGCTGCGACTAGAAAGCGGTATCTCCAGGGGTGGAGGGAAGAGGAGCTGCAACCATCGAGTACTGCATTGCTAGAAAGGAAGGAAAGCGAGGAGAAGGTCAGAGCAACTTCCTCTTCCGGATCGCTCCGGGGAGGAAGTAGGCATGTGGGGAGGCTTTTGTGCTCTTCCCAGGGTCGAAGCAGCAGCAGGAAGGTGAGTCGAGGGCGGGTCGGGGGAGAAGCCGGGAGCAGGTGGGGCTGATCGGTTCGGACGTTGCCCACCGCTGTACATCCGTGACGGTCGCAGCATCCCAGCCTCGCGATCCCCGTTTGTGGCTTTCCCAGCCAGCTTCTCCTAAGCAAAATCCCTGGAGAGGCTGGCAAGAGGTTGCAAGTCGCAGTCACGTGAAATTGCCTTCAACGACCCAGAGCGACTCGCTTAAGGCCTGCAGAGGAACAGCCCCCCTCCTGCCCCGCAGCCCTCCTCTTGGCGCAGCCCGGCTCCCAGCGTGGGGGCTCCTGGCGTTTCCCGGAAGGTTGGGCACCGCCGTTCCCACGTTCCCCTGTCGCTGCTGGGGAGGATCAGCCTCCCAGTGCCTGGAGGGGGGAAAGAGGAAGAGGACGGGGGGAGCTCTGGGCTCAGAGGGAGCGTGGCTGGAGGCGAGAATGACGGAGACCCGAGAGGCGTCCAGGTGGGCTTCCTTTGGGATGCAGCTCCTCAATCTGCCTCTCTTACATGCCCAGATTCCCTCTCTGGTGACTGCTGAGTCCCTGTTTCTCCCTGCCCATGTAAGTGAACAGCCCTGCCTGCAGAGTCTTTCAATATTAATTTTAGTTTTTTTCATGAATTGTGAAAAAAGGAGCTCTTCACAGTACTTTTACAAACAGCTTTCAAAAGAGATCAAGGGGGTTCTGTGATAATATTCAGAAAGATAACAAAATTTCCAGTCAAGGGACAAGCCTGGGAGCTCTAATAATTGCCTGCAGGGCATTTGGGGAAACAGACTGGTCTGCAGAAGAGCCAGTTTATTGATTGGGCTTCAGTTGTTGGACTAAAATGCCGCATGGAGAGCTTGTGGTTAGATGATGGCACCCTTTCAAAATTGGAGGGGCTGTCACATAGAAGAGGGGATTGACCCGTGTGCCAAAGTGTCTTAGAGCAGAACAAGAAGTAACAGATGGAGACTACAATTAGGAGAAAGTTCCTGTCAGTGAGAACAATTGCCTCCAGACATTGTGGGTGTTTCATCACTGGAGGTTTTTAAGAAGAGATTGGACAGCCATTCGTCAAGAATAATATGGCTTTCCTACCTAAGCAGGGGATTGGACTAGAAGACGTCCAAGGTCCCTTTCAACTCTCATTATTCTCTTGTGGACCTATGTTTCTTTGGCAACAATGTCAGACTGAAACTGCCACTATTTTTTTCTGGGATTTTTATTTGTTTACTTCTATTTATAGCTAACAAGCATGATATTTCCTATTGGCGCCCCATACTTGTATTAATGAGGTTCAGCTTAAGCCAGCACTTCTGAAAGAATAGCTATGGAAGACCTTTCAGGATGTTCAGTTGTATAGGTAGTCCTCATTTACCACTTCTTCTCTGGGCCTATGATTATGAAAATGCAGGAAAAGGGAATTGCACCAATTTGGATGTTGCCAATTGATGCACATTTATGGTGGCTGCAATATCCCAGATTCATGATCCCCATCTCTGACCTTCCCACTAGCTTCTTACAAGCAAAATCAATGGGTATACCAGCAGCAAATTGCAAGCCACAATCATATGAAATTGCGTTTAATAACCCATGGTGATTTGCTTAGCAAGTCCAGAGGAACATGTAAGTTGGCACTATCATGTGACATCATACTTAATGATCGGGCTGCTTAATGACACAGATGTCAGTCCCAATTGCAGTCATTAAGTGAGGAGTAGTTTAACTGGGATGTCAGCAGAGGGATTGTGGAGAGTAGTTTTTGCCCTTATTTGTAGCGGAGGACTCCCATGTGCAAATCTTGCAGAGACATCAGGCATCATTTCATCAGTTAAAGCCCCCACACCTCTAAAAATTAGCTCAGAAGGTTTGATAGTAATCTTTTTTTCTTTTTCAGGCTGAAAACATGAATTTTCCACATAGATATAATTATAGGTATGTGTATTTATATTAATCTTTCCATATATCTGGCAATTGTATAATCTATACCCCAGACTTCCAGATATATTTTATGATAGCCCATAGCTGCGCTTACAGTTTATGGTTGATGCAAGTCAAGGGAATGTCATGATTGAAGGGATATTTGAACTTGGATCTCTGGAATGTCCGATGAATCATAATTAATGTAAGGTTAGCATTGCAGCATGTTTGTTTTTTAAATGTAATGTATATTTTTTATTTTTTTTTTCACATCTGCAAGCATTGTATAAACAATTAAACTTACGCTTTTTAAGAATCTTATAGACCAGGGGTCGGCAACCTTATACACTCAAAGAGCCATTTGGACCCCTTTTCCAGAGAAAATACACCAGGAGCCACAAAACCCTGCTGCTTACTCCCCAGCACTCCATGCTGCTGCTGTTTACTTCCCCCCCCTGGCATGGAGCACTCTGCCACTGCTGCTTTCTTCCTCTACCTCCCCCGTGCTGAGCACATCCTGCCACTGGTTTTCTCTTCTATCTCCCTGCGCAGAGCGCCATGCTGCCACTTTTCCCTACCTCCTCCACATGAGCATTTTCTGCTGCTGTTTTTCCCTCCTACCTCTCCTGTGCAGAGTGCCCTGTTGCCGCCACATTTCCTTCCTACCTCCCCTGCATGGAGCGCCCTGCCACTGCAGCTTTCCCAGCAGCAAAGATGGCATTTGGGAGGCAGCGGCAGTGCATAGCCCAGGCACTGCCCAGCAGCAAAGCTCGTCCTTCCCACTCAACTGGCCCCCAGCGGCTCCTCAGCTCCATCCAAGTTGAAGAAAGCGGAGGCGCAGCAAACAATAAGAACTGGGTGTGCTGCTCGCTCGTGTGCGCCTGCCTTATTGAGAGCAATCCCGCTGCTGCGCCTCTGCTTTCTTCAACTCGAATGGAGCAGAGTGAGGAGAACGAGTAGGAGAAGACTGGTGAGGCTTTGTGCCAGCCGGCTGGCCAGGTGAAGGGTAGTTCGGGCGACGGTGGCTGGCTGGCTGGCCCATTTCCCCAGCTCCGTACATGATTGGCAGAAAACCCCCTTGCGCCCCCGACTGGGCCCTAGCGGCACCTTTCCAGCTCTGACACGGTCCTCCGTCATTTCATCCGCTGCTGTGTGCAGTCTTACAAACAAAAGAAACTTGTTAGCCTGCCCACAAACTGTGGGACTAAAAAGTTCAATCAATTCCAGTTGGGCAAGATCTTTTATTTTTCCATGAGAAATTGGAATTTTTTTAGATGGCAAAGGACTGGGAGCCACAGCGGAGGGATGAAAGAGCCGCATACGGCTCAGGAACCACGAGTTGCTGATCCCTGGTCTAAACTCTTCTTAAAAACCTCCAGTGATGGAGCACTGAAAGCAAGCTGAAAGCAAGCTGTTCCTCTTGGTAGAAGTGAATGAAAGGTCTTCAAATTTTAATATTGAAAGAAAAATTTAAAATAGAATCTGCTGAATACCAAAGAAAGTACAATGGGGAATGAGGAGGGATGTGGCATCCGGGACAGGGTTGTATAAAGAAGGAATATTTTGGGTTGGAACTTTGAAGAGGACCAAGCTTTGATAGCTTCTCTCCTCGCTTATTGCAATAAATGAAATAAAAGGCCTTCACTGTGCCTTGGCTGGTTATTGGTCAGCTGAGTTTGCTTCTGGTCATGAAGGAAAGTAGGCAGGAGCACATAACACTCTGGTTAATTGTCTGCATTTTTAGGAAGTTTCTCCTTAATTCCAGGTTCTTCTCTCTCTGATCAGTTTCCAACCGTTTCTTGTCCTGCCCTCTGGTTCTTTAGAGAATTTGATCCCACCTTCTTTGTGGCAGCCCCCCAAATACTGTGGGGGAGAGGTCAGGGGGACCATGGGAGAAAAACCTGTGGGGACCATGGGGTGGGAGAAAAGCTTGGTGGGGCCCTATAATGGAGGAAAATCCCCAGGGGAACCAAGGGTTGGGAAGCAGAGCACAGGATGTCTCGGGTGGGAGAGGCCTAGGGATGCCGGGGGGGGGGGCAGGTCTGGTCCTGCGGTAGGCTTCCAACACCTTCCCCCAACAGTGGGGTTGCTAGTATTCCACGTAGCTATTTGCACATCTGTTTAATGGCTGCATCACGGAGGGTGGAGGTAATTAACCAAACCACTCTCACTTCATGGCTTTTGTAACGTGCGACTGTAACTGGCAGGCCCCATTACAGTTGTAACTTGTGGGCTACTGGTATGCTGGCTGTGAAAATGTGGGGATCAAAATCTGGAGCACAACAAACAAGGCTGCAACTCCATATGTTGGATTTCCGTAATCAATATACAAAAAAACCCCCAAAAAACGCTATTTGAGGAATTCCACAAGTTCTGTAAAAGGAAACATCCAGAAACATCTGCTGATAATCAGAAACAGTTCATTAGCCTTTATCTACTAACAATTTCCATTTTTTTTCTCCACACCTACAGGTCTAATCCTAAGATGTGTTGACTAAAAAGAATCGGGTCAGAATTCAAGTAGCCAATCTCTCACCTACAGTCCCAATGGGAAATCAGAAATGAAATTCAAGCCTTCTCTAAACTCATCAATGTTTGCCTCATGTGCACTTCCTTCTGTGCTTCCACAAAATAGGTTATAAAATTGATCACACTGTGTGATGACCCATTAATGACCCTCTTGATTTACAACTGTAATTGCTGGCTAAATTACAGTTGTAAATCGAGGACTACCAAGAGTTTTCCCCAACAGTGAGGTAGCCAGTGTTGTTTAATGACTTACACATTCATTTAACTGCTGCATCAGGAACAGCAGGAGTAGCAGTAGTTAAGCAAAGTGTGATGACCCCGGGCAGAGCACAGAGGCAGTTTAGTCTGCTCCAAATGTTCCCCAAATGCTCCCACGTTTCTGACAAGCCCCAGAACAAAGGAAGACACACACACACCTTCAGCCGCCTCTGGCTGCAAGTAGTTTCACGTACAGTCTGATTAGAAAAGTAATTTACTTAAGGTCACGTAGATAACAAGGAATGAAACATCCAAAATCTAACAAGTCTGTGGAAATACAAGCTTGCCTGAGCAGTTTCAAAATAGAAGTCAAAATACAATCCGAGGTCTTTGAACACCCAGTCACTGTTGTCAGTCAGTCCAATGGTCAGAGTTTTAGGGTTTCTAAGCAGAAATCACAACACAGAACAAGAGATCAAAGAGTTGTTTTCAAGATCAGCAACAGCACACAAAATTCCAATGAATCAGTGTTTGTTCCCGACAAATACTTCTCCCCACAGCATCTCCTTAAGTCTCAGTCTCCAGGTGTGCCATGTGGAGAGGGGCAGGGCGCTTTCCTCCTAAGTAGTTAAGCCTGCCTGTTGCCCTGATATCCCAGATCCTCGTGATTGTTCTGGTATAGTTGTCTTCAATTCGATCTGGTCTTTTTCTTTCTCAAATTTCTTCTGATTTGCATAGAAGGTCATTTCCAGTTTTGGAGTTCTTGTTTCGTTGTCTGGATTTTCAATAATCTGTTCTTGTTGTTCTGTAAAGGCCTCTGTCTTGGTATTCATTTGTTCCACTCCTTTTGTTTCTTGAGTTAGTAGTTTATTAAACAAGAGTCAGTAAATGTTCACCTCTACTGTTCTCAGAAACCAATTTCACCGCCCAGCTGCTCTCTCAGAGTTAAGTCTTTCATAGATAATACCAAGGTCAAATCTGGGCTCTGAGCAAGTCTTTTTGTCAGAAGTAATAAGATGTCCCCCATAACATTTAAAATCTTTTTCAGATCCTTCTCTCCACTCCCCGTGTTCTCGGATCAGGAAGGAGTGGCCTTGCTCATGGCCTGAACTCTCATGTTCCTCCTGTCCCAATCCTGAAATACCCTGGCCTGCCTCGGCCTGCTCTTCCCCACATTCCTCTGAAGCCACAGATGCCTCTCCCTCGGCCTCCATAGGGTCCAGATTCAGGCTCCCATGGAGGCATGACACAAAGCAGGCTCCCAACTACAATTAGGAGGCCCATTAGAGTTGTATCCCGAGGACTAACGTACAGTAGCCGAGGAATTTCACAACTCCTGCAAACAGGACCCAGATTGTTGGGGGCAATGTAAATATATATGTACATTGCTTACTGGTGTACACCGCTTAGAGAGTGCTTGCACTTAAAGCGGTATATAAGTCTCATAAATAAATAGAAATATCCAGAAACTATTGTTGATAAGCAGAAATAGGTAGTTGGTCTATATCAAACTAACATTTTTCATATTTTTCTCTCCACCTATAGGTCTAATACTGAGATCTGTTGACTAAAAAGAATCAAGCCAGAATTGAAGTAGTCAGTTTCTCACCTATACTCTCAATGGAAAATCAGAAATGAAATTCAAGATGTCTCTAAACTCATCAATGTTTGCTTCATGTGCACTTCCTTGTGTGCAATAAGAGATGATTTATGCCTGAAGAATTATTCACAGATTGGACATTTCAAATGTTTCTTCCCTGTGTGATACAGAATGTATAAGGTTAGACCCAATACTGAAATCTTTTCCAAAATCTGGATACTTTTACGGTTTCTCTCCTGTATACATCCTCTGGTGTTTTACAAGCAGAGAAACGTAACTGAAACTTTTCCGACACGCTGGACACCCATGCGGTTTCTCTCCTTTGTGAGCCCTCTGGTGTATCACCAGGCTGGAATTTTGACTGAAACTTTTCCCACATTCCTGAATGTTTTTTCTCTTTTGTGAGTTCTGTAGTGTATCACCAGGTTGGAATTTTTTTTTAAAAAAAAAATTTTTTTTTATCGATTTTCCAGTTTTACATATAAGTATTTAGAAGGCAATGTGGTAATTGGATTAAACAACAATCTTTAGTAGATGAGATATTTCAGGTTACATTATGAAAAATTTCTTCTGTTTCCCTTAACATTATTTCATATTTAAGCTAATAAATTCCTAGTTGTATCAAAATTCAGTATAAACTTCATTATTGCATTTATACATTTGTTTTGTTTATACATATCTTAATAAATCTCGATAATCAATGTCCTTTTATTAAATATTACCTATTTTTAATTTTTAATTACATATTTCCAGTTTGATCTTTAATGCCATAGTATTCAACTTTCAGGTAACCCAAATTTCCTTTATCTCACTTCATAATAATTATAATATCTGAAATACACATATTTATTACTTAACTATATTCTTATTTTATTCCATAAACATTTTCATATCCCCATCCTAATACATCACCACCTTAATAATAAAGTGACTTTTATTAGTTCAGATCCATCAACTATATTCTCTGGGCTAATCAATAATTCAAACCTATTTCCTAATAGTTAGTTTACATTTCCCTTGTAAATCTAAATCTTCAATATTAGGCAAATTATTCCCTTATTTTTTTACTGTTTTCCGACTATTTTAAATCTAATAATCAAATTTCCCTTTATCTCAAAATCTCCCTTTAGCCCGCTAGCTGACAGGTTAGAGTCTAATAAATCAAAAAGGCCCAGCTTTTCAACCTAATTCTAGCTTTCTTCTTTTGCCAACCAGGCTTCCATGTCAATGCTTTTAAATCATCAGATAGATCTCCCTTCATTCTTGTATATATTATTTGAATTAAAGGAGACCATCTAATTGCCAATTTTCTGAAAGTTCTGGCCAATTTATAATCATTAGGTTGTTGCCCTGGTATCCCAGATCCTCGTAATTGTTCTGATACAGTTGTCTTCAATTCGATCTGGTCTTTTTTTTCCTCAAATTTCTTCTGATTTGCATAGAAGGTCATTTCCAGTTTTGGAGTTCTTGTTTCGTTGTCTGGATTTTCAATAATCTGTTCTTGTTGTTCTGTAAAGGCCTCTGTCTTGGTATTCACTTGTTCCACTCCTGTTGTTTCTTGAGTTAGTAGTTTATTAAACAAGAGTCAATAAATGTTCACCTCTACTGTTCTCAGAAACCAATTTCACCTCCCAGCTGCTCTCTCAGAGTTAAGTCTTTCATAGATAATACTAAGGTCAAATCTGGGCTCTGAGCAAGTGTTTTTGTCAGAAGTAATAAGATGTCCCCCATAACATTTAAAATCTTTTTCAGATCCCGGGCTAGGTTCTTATCCGATTTAAGTTCTTTTTCCAAATAAAATAGAATTGGTGTATCACCAGGCTGGAGTTTTAACTGAAACTTTCCCCACAATCACAACATTTAAAGGGTTTCTCTGCTGTGTGAGTCCTCTGGTGTTTCACCAGGTCAGATTTTGCAATGAAAGTTTCCCCACAAATTGGACCCTCATATAGTTTCTCTCCTATTTGAATCCTCTGGTGTTTTACCAGGTCAGAATTCTTCTTGAAACTTTTCCCACAATGAGGACATTCAAATGGTTTTTCTCCGGTGTTTCACCAGGTTGAAATTTGAAATGAAACTTTCCCCACAGACTGGACACTCATATGGTTTCTCCCCTGTATGAGTCCTCTCATGTATCACAGGATTAGCAGTAACTGAAACTTTTTCTACATTCTGAACACTCATACAGTTTCTCTGCTGTGTGAGTCCTCTGATGTTTTACCAGGTGGGAATTTGTAATGAAACTTCCCACACAAACTAGACGGTCATACGGTTTCTCTCCCGTGTTAGTCTTCTGGTGGTTTACCAGGTTTGAATTCTCCCTGAAACCTTTCCCACATTCAGGACATTCAATGGAGCTTTTCCACCACTGATATTCTTGAGGAGGTCAAAAATATAGCTGGTCTCTTGTTTAGTGATAGTTTGATTCAAGCAGGTTTTTTTCCTCCCTGGGCAAGGCCTGCATCACTGTCTGCCCTATGTGGCCATCCAAAAATTGTGTAATTTTTTTTGAAGGAAATGGAAAATATCATGATTTCTGGCTTGATTTGCTTTCCTTTTCAAAAATTATTCTCACTTCTCCAGAGTGCTCTTATTGCCATCCTCTTTGCCTATAAGATTCAAAGAAAAGTGTAACTTCAATTGTTTATATAATGCTTTCAGAAGATGTGAAAAAAAAGAAAAATTATACATTACAATTAAAAACAATTTTACCACAATGCTAGAATAGCTTCTTATACTATGATTCATTGAACATTACAGGGATCCAAGTTCAAATATCCATTCAATCATGAAATTCTCATATTGACTTTTGCTTTGCACTACAAAGAGTTATTATGAAATATATCTGGAAGTGCTGGGGATGGATTATACAATTGTAGATATATGCATACAGATAGAAATGCAAATACACACACCTACAAATATGTGTATGTCTGTGTGTATGTATGTACACACACACACACACACACACATACACACCATTAATATCCATTATAAGGATGGTATCATCCTTTTTGAGCTGGTTTAAAGCCTCTACTTCTTTCTTAGATAAGGTTTGGTGGCCCCTATGATTCATAACCAAACCTGTGACCTGTTGTCTGTTTCTAGTCTCCTCTCCCACTCCAATGCGGTGTATGGCCGGTTCTAGAGCTGCAACGAAGTCTAAGGGATGGGCGTCCCTGAGATTACATCCCGCATCTCGTTGTAGGAGGGCAAGTTGGGGCTGAGTCAACGTCTTATTAGACAGATTATACACCAGTCTTTCTGAGGGGTTGTAGCCATTCAAATTACGTAGTCTCTCAGTCCTATGCTGAAATTTCTCCGTCGCCCGTTGGCTTGTAATCCTAGCCATGGAGTGGATATATTGGTCTAGCATAAAGAAATGCTGACTCACGAGTATCCTTATCTAAGAAAGAAGTGGAGGCTTTAAACCAGCTCAAAAAGGATGACACCATCCTTATAATGTCAGCAGATAAAGGGAGGGCTACTGTCATTATGGACAAGGCGCAATACATTGGTAAAGCATTGTGCCTGCTCAACGATACTACAGTCTATAGAGTGGTAGACGGTGACCCCATGACAGCCCTTAAAAACCATACTAATAAATTTAACAACCTCAAACGTAAAATGCATACAGATGATGTCACTCTTAAAAAGCTGCACCCTAGTGACACCGCAATGGCCAGATTCTATGGCCTTCCTAAGGTCCACAAGGAGGGTGTTCCCCTTCGCCCTATTGTGGCATTTAGGGACACTCTGACCTCAGGCCTTGCCAAATGGCTGAGCAATCGCATCAGTCATTTGGCTGAAGGTAGTTCTACTACCGTTAAATCTGCTGAGGAATTCCTTGACAGGATCAGGTCTCTGAGGACAGAGGATGATGAGGTGATGGTGTCTTTTGACGTCGTCTCCCTCTTCACCTCTATCCCACAAGATCTGGCCATCAAGACGATAAAAGACCTTGAGAAAAAGGGTTCAGGTCATCAGCAGGACCATCTTCGGCCTCAGGACCTTATAAATCTATCAGAAGTATGTCTAAAAACATAATTCACATTCCAGGGCACTACCTTTGAACAGGTTAAAGGCACTCCCATGGGGTCACCGATCTCCAGCATCGTAGTGGAAGCAGTGTTGCAGCAATTGGAGCACGTAGCGATGACCCAGTGTTGTCCTAAATTCTGGGCTCGCTACGTGACGATACATTTGTCGTCATTAAGAGGAGCCAAAAAGCTGGCTTTGTGGGCATACTTAACTTGGTGTGCGTGGATTTGCAGTTTACGGAAGAAGAAGAGCACCACGGTGAGTTGGCATTTCTTGATGTCCTGGTCCATCGCCAACCTAACGGAACCCTGAGGACCAGGGCCTACTGCAAATCCACGCACACAGATAGAATTCTGCACTATGATAGCAACCATCCAGTAGCCCACAAGGCCAGCTGCATTAGAACACTCTTCAAGAGAGTAGGCTCCCACTGCAACACTGCTAAGGCTAGGATGGAAGAAAAGAAGCACCTTTGTAAGGTGTGCAGGCACAATGGTTACCCCATGAAGTTAATCAGGCGCCATGGACTACCATCCAGACCCCCCTCCCTGTTAGGTCTCAAATAGAAGAACATACATCACAGAGATTCCGCATTACTCTCCCTTACATTAGCAACGTCTCAGAAGCCACGGCTAGGTTATTGGCATTCTATGACATGAGGGTGGCACATAACCCCAACCAGACGTTGTGATCTAAGGTGATGAGATTGAAAGACCCACTCCCCACCATAGAGAAGTCCAGTGTCATTTACAGGATCAACTGTGAAAGTTGCTCTGCCAATTATGTGGGGGAGACCTCCAAACGTGTCACACGTAACATTAAGAGCATGGGCAATGCGTGACTGTCCCTCCGGAGGAAAACAATGTAATATTACAACGTGCCTTCAGCAAAGAGGGTTGACGGAGGAGACAAGTCTTGGAAATGCCCAGATAGGGAATAATCAGCAGCTGAGTAACTCTCCACTTGCGGAAACATATGCCCATCTCCTATGGGCGCAGGAGCATATTGACAACCAAGAGCCAACTGCCGATGAATCGAGGGTCTCCCCAGGAACAGTGAGGAGTTTGGCAAAGAAGCGATCTTGTACGGACTCCGGACTATTAAACAACCATGAATTAAATGATTGGAATGTCACGTGTAACTCCACCGGCGACTCTGCAATTAACTCCATCCACGACATTTCCCTATTGAGCTGCTCTCGCCTTGGGAATGCAGGAGAACTACGGGAAGATGGGGAGGCTGTTTGTTATAATCTTAGAGGCTCCACATGCTCCCACAGACATTTGAGAGGAACCGTAGGAATGTACAAGGAGATGCAAATCATGATCACAAAGACCCTGCCTCTCTCCCTTTAAGGAGGGTTGCACACCCCCAAGTAATTATAAATGTATAATTGTATGTATAAACAGCAGTGAGGGGACAGCCCCCTCGGGAGAAGGGGTTAACAACCAACTTGTGGGTGCCACGAATTCCAGGGAGGATGTTAAAATTACCCCTGTTGAAGAGAAAATAGAAAGGGGAGTTAACAGAGCGATACGAAAGATCGGGAAACAGGATGATACGAACACAATGGAATCCTGGGCTACAGAGACGAACAATGAGGATATAGTTGTGAAGGAGGATCGTAGGCAGATAGGGGGAGGAGAAGGAAAATAGGGAATACTAAGAGGGAGGATGAGGGGAATAAACAACATAAACACAGACTGCACATTTAACTACGTAGAATTAAAGGGCCCCCCCGACTTACAGTTATACGAAGAAGGGAGGAAGAGCTGTGGTATCGGCACAAGCAAGGGAAGTGAGGAAATTACAGCTTGCAATACAGAAACTACGATCAAAATGCAGGTGGATTGGCTGGGACCTATGACAAGGTCAAGAAGCGGGGCACAAAGAGCGCCATATTTATAAATAGCTTCTCCCATCGACTGGACGCTACCCTGATGATGCTGGCAGAAGCCAGCAAAAGCTTGGTTTTATTCTATTAAAACTTTTTATAGTTTTATAACTTCCTGGTGTTCGTATATTTTATTATTTAACATGAATCTACCCAGGAATCACCATTTTGTTTTTAATATTCTTAAAAATATATTGTCTCTAATTATACTAAAAATGTGAATCCCGGGTACATTCATGTTGAGAAAAAGTCGAACACCGGAATAAATATAAAAACAACTGTCTAATAAACTAACAACTGTTTGATAAACTTAGCTTTCGTCGGCTAACTACCGATGTCGTCAGAGTAGAAAGCCGGACATTCGAAAGCCTGCTTATAAGACTGGCAGTTTGCGCGCTCTGCTCATAGAACGCATTACTGGTCTACCCGCCCCAGTTGACCATATTGCTTCTAATAGACTCGCATCTGTATACTCGTAAGCTCGGGGATCATCGCCTTACTTATTGTCAACTCTCTTTGCCCGCTTTGGATGTATCTGGGTACACGTTACTATATGTATATGTCATGGTTCCGAAAGAAGCTTTTCAAAGAACTTTGAGGCATTGTTTACCTTAAAAAATCTTTAATTGCAACATAGCTTCGGCACGTACATAGAGAAGCCAAAATCTGAATTCTCCTCCCCCAAACACACAGTATCTAAGCATAACTCACTCCTTCATTTCACAGTCATTAATCACATTCTCCAATTAGTTTGAAGTGTGAACTTTCCCTCTCGTTATCTCCTCTTATTACAACCAACCTTGAAGAATACTCTATTGAGATATTGTTATGGCTAACTAGTCTCCAAACACATTCTTCCCCCTCCCCTCCAGCACCATCTAATTTTAACTCTAAAAGTAATACACAGGTTAAATAGAAAATGTTTGCATCTTCATATATTGTCAAGCAAGAACATCCGATGTTAGCAACATTGACAATGTATATATATATATTGTCTAATATGATGCCCAGGATTCGCATTTTTAGTATTTTAAAGGATGTGTGTGTGTGTGTGTAATTTTAGAGACGTGAGGGCTTTAACTGATTAAATGATGCCTAAAGCCTCTGCAAGATTTGGAGCACCTTTTTGCCCATGGAAGTCCTCAGCTCCAAGTAAGGGCAGAAAATATTGCCCACTATCCCTCTGCTGACATCCCAATTGAAGTAGTCGTCACTTACTGAGTGCATTTGGGACAGGCATCTGTGACACTAGCAGCCCAGTCATTCAGCCTGATGTCACATGACAGTGCCAACTTATATCTGTTCCTGTGCAGTTTTTAAGCAAGTCATTGTGGGTTGTGAAATGCAATTTCATATGACTGTGACTTGCAGTTTCCTGCCGGCATCTCCCGTGATTTTTTTTATCAGAAGCAAGCTGGAAAATGGGGATCAAGTTGTGGGATGCTGCAACCATCCTAAACATGCACACCGGTTGGCAGTACCCGAATTTGTGCAACTCCTTTTCTTGCACCTTAACCAAAGGAAGTGCATACATGTGGTCACAGAACAAGTGCTACAGTGACCACAAATTTGTGGACAAAGTGTACGTCTGCTTTCACAGTGTCATTGTAACTTTGAAGGCTCATGAAATAAATGGAAAGCGAGGACTGCCTATACAAACTGAACATCCCCAAAAGTCCTTGGTAGGTATTTTTTAGTTGAACCTGGTTAATACATGGATGGGGCATCAATAGGAAATACACTGCTTGTTGGCTAGACATGAAAGTAAAAAATCAAAAATTTCAGAAGAGACAGTGGCAGATCAGTCTGATAATTTTGCCAAAAAACACCTAGCAGGTCCATATCCGAACAACAGAGTTGAAAGGGACCTTAGAGAGATCTTCTAGTCCAACCCCCTGCTTGAACAGGAGACCTTATCATTCCAGAAAAAAATGTTCTCCAATCTTTTCTTAAAGGTTCCTGACGAACCTGACAACTATGTTATCCAAATGGCAGAGAAAGGAATTGGTCTTAATATTTACACACAGAAATGAGAGATCAACAAACATATTTGGGGGCTGGAGGCTAAAACATATGAAGAACAAATTAAGTTGAATATATATGTTCCAGGATAATGTTGGTGAGGAAGAAAAGGGAGGAAGAGGGAAGTAAGGGAGGAAGTCAGAGGGAGGATGCAGTTTGGGGGGAACTGAGTGAGCAATACCGAAAGTTGTGTGTATAAATTTATTTTACTCTTTATCTGAAGTATTTTGTATGAGTGTAATGAAAAATGGAAAATAAAAACTTTTTTTTTAAAAAAGAGATTGAACAGCCATTTGTGTGAAGTGGTATAAGGTCTGCTCAAGCAGGGGGTTAGAATAGATGACCTCTAAGGACCCTTCCAACTGTTATTCTATAGTCTATATTCTGGTGACTTCTCTGTTGTGGAGGAAGCCAAACAGACCTACTTGCTCCCAGCATCTGCTTCAACCTGCCCTCAACTCACCTTTCAGCTGATGCTTCAACCCTGGGAAGAGCACAAAAGCCACTCTGTATACCATCTTCTTTCCATGAGTGATCCGGAAGAGGAAATTCCTCTGTGCTTCTCTTCTTCTATTCTTTGTAGCAATGCAGTACTTGATGGTTTTAAATCTTTTAAGCTCAACCACAGATGCCGCTACTGTAAAGACGGCTTTGACTGGCATCTCCAGATAGGAAGCTGAAAAAAATGCTTGTCCCATCTCTGTCTAAGGCATTTGCACGACATTGTCATTGATTATATGGTATCACGTTGTTTTGACTCCTAACAACTCCCAGTTCCATTCTCCATTTCTCTTTTCATTCCCTGCCTCTGAACTTGTGACATTTCCCCTAGCAGCTCTATATTCCATTTTTAAGATGATCTTCCTTGCCATCAATATATTTTGAAGACCTAAGGGGTAAAAGGTATTTTACGTTTTCATTGTTATAGCTATGTCTTGCAGTATTTTGTTTGTATATAGTTGTTTACATTTCCCTTCTTTTATCTCTCCCATCTCAAAATCAGTTTCCTGTTTCGTCTTCTGATTTCTGAATTATGTTCCTACTTTGTATTCGTTATCTGGGAATTTCTAGTTGTAAATTTAATTTGGAGATTTGCTCATTTATATTGTCTAAATTGATTTTAGTCTCATCATTTCTTTTTATGTGCTCTTTGCATTCAACAATTGTTTGGTGAATTAGTTGTAGCATAGAATATATTTCTTTCTGAAAGCTGTTTATTTTTTCTTGAGGCATCATTCCTAGAGATCCTCTAGTATCACCAGTATCCGTAAGAGTAGATCGAAGTTTCCTCTAGTGTTCTGGTCTTTATATGTACCCTTTATCATCCAATAAATTCCAAAGTGTAGGTTCAATCCTGAAAGCAATATTTTATAGTAATCCTTTGTCTTAAGTATCCAAAAATTGTCAATCAGGCAAGTTTGTAATCCACATGTTCAATATGTTCAATCTCTCTGAAAGCAGCTCAAAAGTCTCTCCCAGCCAGACATAGTCCAAGGTGAAATTTTTCTTTCTCTCCCACTAGCTCTTGAAGTTAAAAGTCCACGCTTAGTAGGCATTTATAATCCAAGGTCAGTGTGATAAGTAGGCCAAAATATCTTCCTTTATTGTCAGCTGTTCTCCTGAACTAGGAATCAACTGGTGTATCACCAGTTGGGAATTCTGAGTGAACCTTTTCCCACATTCAGGACATTCAAAGGGTTTTTCTCATGTGTAAGTCCTCTGGTGTTTCACCAGGTGTGAATTTGATATGAAACCTTTCCGTCAATAAGAATATTACTAAGATTTCTCTCCTGTGAGATTCCTCCGATGTATCACCAGGTGGGAATTTACAATGAAACTTTCCCCAAAAAGTGGACACTCATATGGTTTCACTCCTGTGTGAGTCCTTTGGTTGTTTACCAGGTCAGTGTTCTTCCAGAAACTTTTCCCACATTCAGGGCATCAAAGGGTTTCTCGTCTGTGTGAGTTCTCTTGTGTTTCAGTAGGTTGGAATTTGCAATGAAAGTTTTCCCACATCCAGGAAATTTAAACGGTTTCTCTCCTGTGTGAGTCCTCTGGTGTATCACCAGTTGGGAATTCTGAGTGAACCTTTTCCCACATTCAGGACATTCAAAGGGTTTTTCTCCTGTGTGAGTCCTTTGGTGTATCACCAGGTTAGAATGGGAAGTGAAACTTTTCCCACAAACTGGACACTCATACGGTTTCTCTCCTGTGTGAGTCCTCTGGTGTATCACCAGTTGGGAATTCTGAGTGAACCTTTTCTCACATTCAGGACATTCAAAGGGTTTTTCTCCTGTGTGAGTCCTTTGGTGTATCACCAGGTTAGAACGGGAACTGAAACTTTTCCCACAAACTGGACACTCATATGGTTTTTCTCCTGTGTGAATCCTCTGGTGTCTCACCAGGTTGGAATTTACAATGAAACTTTTCCCACAAAGTGGACACTCATACGGTTTTTCTCCTGTGTGAGTCCTCTGGTGGTTTACTAGGTCGGAATTTGCAACGAAACCTTTCCCACAAAGGGGACACTCATACGGTTTCTCTCCTGTGTGAGTCCTCTGGTGTATCACTAGACAGAAATTATGACTGAAACTTTTCCCACATTTAGGACATTCAAAGGGTTTCTCTCCCGTGTGAGTCCTCTGGTGTATCACCAGTTGGGAATTCTTAGTGAACCGTTTCCCACATTCAGGACATTCAAAAGGTTTCTCTCCTGTGTGAGTCCTCTGGTGGTTCACCAAGGTGAAATTTTGACTGAAACTTTTCGCACAAATTGGACACTCATATGGTTTCTCTCCTGTGTGAGTCCTCTGATGCACCACCAGGCTGGAATTGTGTATGAAAGATTTCCCACAATCCGAACATTCAAAGGGTTTCTCTCCTTTGTGAGTCCTCTGGTGGTTCACCAGGTGGGAATTTGCAATGAAACATTTCCCACAATCCAAACATTCAAAGGGTTTCTCTCCTGTGTGAGTCCTCTGGTGTATCACCAGGCTGGAATTGTGTCTGAAAGATTTCCCACAAATTGGACACTCATATGGTTTCTCTCCTGTGTGAGTCCTCTGATGCACCACCAGGCTTGAATTGTGTATGAAAGATTTCCTACAATCTGAACATTCAAAGGGTTTCTCTCCTTTGTGAGTCCTCTGGTGGTTCACCAGGTGGGAATTTGCAATGAAACTTTTCCCACAATCCAAACATTCAAAGGGTTTTTCTCCTTTGTGAGCCCTCTGATGTTTCACCAGACTGGAATTCTGACTGAAATGGTTCCCACAATCAGGACACTCATATGGTTTCTCTCCTGTGTGAGTCCTCTGATGTATCACCAAGATGGAATTGTTTATGAAAGATTTCCCACAATCAGAACATTCAAAGGGTTTCAATCCTTTGTGCATCCTCTGGTGTACCATCAGACTAGGATTGTGGCTGAAATATTTCCCACAATCCAGACATTCAAAGGGTTTCTCTCCTGTGTGAGTCCTCTGATGTCTCACCAGTTTGGAACTGCAACTGAAACCTTTCCCACACTCACGACATTCAAAGGGTTTCTCTCCGGTGTGAGACATCTGGTAGTTCACCAGGTAGTAATTTACAGCGAAACTTTTCTCACAAACTGGACACTCCTATGGTTTCTCTCCTGTGTGAATTACTTTGCTTGGTAAAGCATTTACTACATTGGGAGCACTTATAGGGCATCTGTCCTGTGTGGGTCCTGTTACGAACCACAAGGGAGATATTCTAACCAAAGATTTTGTTACATTAGTAGCATTTGTATGCCTTTTTTCCAGTTTGGGTCCTCTTGTACGTAATCACCTATGTTTTTGCAAACTGTGCTTTATACCACAATATTGACATCTGTGGACCTTTTTCACCACTGATATGCTGGAAGAAGTCAAAAATGTGTGTGGTCCCTTGTTTAGTGGGGCTTTGATTTCACCTACTGTTTTTTTCATCCCATTGGGAGTTCTGCATTACTGTCTGCCCTATTTGAGTATCCAACTGACCTTTTCTTCCCCACTGACTTTCAGATATTACCCTCTTTTTCTGAACAGAAAAATGATCCCCTTCATCTTGTCATGTACCGTGTTCTTCTGTTCCGCATACTCTACTATTTCCAGCTTGAAATCTCTTCTTGATTTTCTCTTGCCTTTCGCCTGCTGGGATGGGAGAATTGTGTAATTTTCTGAAGGAAATGGAAAATATTTTGATTTCTGGCTTGATTTGCTTTCCTTTTCAAAAATTATTCTCACTTCTCCAGAGTGCTCTTATTGCCATCCTCTTTGTCTGTAAGATTCAAAGAAAAGTGTAACTTTAATTGTTTGTACAATGCTTGCAGATATGAAAAAAGGAAAAAAATATACATTTAAAAAGCAAACATGCCACAATACTAACTTCTTACATTAATTATGATTTATCGGACATTCCAGAGATTAAAATATCCCTTAAATCATGAAATTCCCTTGACTTGCATAAACCATAAACTGTAAGCGCTGCTATGGGTTATCATAAAATATAACTGGAAGTCTGGGGTATAGATTATACAATTGCAGATATATGGAAATAGTAATATAAATACACATGCCTATATCTATGTAGAAAATTCATGTTTTCAGTCTGAAAAAGAAAAAAAGATTACTGTCAAATCTTCTGAGCTAGTTTCTAGAGGTGTGGGGGCTTTAACTGATGAAATGATACCTAAAACCTCTGCAAGATTTGCACATGGGAGTCCTGGGCTACAAATAAGAGCAAAAACTACTCTCCACAATCCCTCTGCTGACATCCCAATTGAAGTAGTCCTCCCTTAATGACTGCAATTGGAACTGGCATCTGTGTCATTAAGTGGCCCAATCATTAAGCGTGATGTTTACATGATAGTGTCAACTTACATCTGTTCCTCTGGACTTGTTCAGAAAATCACCATGGGTTGTTAAAGGTAATTTCACATGATTTCCTGCCGGTATACCCATTGGTTTTGCTTATAAGAAGCTAGCTGGGAAGGTCACAGATGAGGATCATGAATGTGGGATACTGCAGCCACCATAAACATGCAACAGTTGGCAGCATCCAAATTGATGCAACTCTCTTTTCCTGCGTTTTCATAATCATAGGCCAAGTGAAGAAGTGGCAAATGAGGACAACTTATGCAACTGAACATCCTGAAAGGTCTTCCATAGCTATTCCTTCAGAAGTGCTGGCTTAAGCACAGTTGAACCTCGTTAATACAATATGGGGAACCAATAGGAAATCCGTGCTTGTTAGCTATAAATAGAAGTAAAAAAATAAAAATCCATGAAAAAATAGTGGCAGTTTCAATCTGATATTGGTGCCAAGAAAACAGCAGGTCCATAAGAGAATAATGAGAGTTGAAAGGGACCTCGGAGGTTTTCTAGTCCAATCCCCTGCTTAGGTAGGAAAGCTATATTTTTCTTGACAAATGGCTGTCCAATCTCTTCTTAAAAACCTCCAGTGATGAAACACCCACAACATCTGGAGGCAAGCTGTTTCATTAATTGTTCTCACTGACAGGAACTTTCTCCTAATTGTAGTCTCTATCTGTTACTTCTTGTTCTGCTCTACGACACTTTGGCGCACAGGCCAATCCCCTCTTCTATGTGACAGCCCCTCCAATTTTGAAAGAGTGCCATCATGTAAACACACGCTCTCCATGCGGCATTTTAGTCCAACAACTGAAGCCTCTCCATGCGAGGAAACCTGGTAGGATGGGAGACCACCAGGGAATGGCAAAAGGGAAACAGGGCTGCTGGTGGCCAATTGCTAAAGCAGGACTTTTTTTTTCTCCACACCTACAGGCCTAATCCTAAGATGTGTTGACTAAAAAGAATCGGGCCAGAATTCAAGTAGCCAATCTCTCACCTACACTTCCAATGGGAAATCAGAAATGAAATTCGAGCCTTCTCTAAACTCATCAATGTTTGCCTCATGTGCACTTCCTTCTGTGCTGCCACAAAATAGGTTATAAAATAGATCACATTGTGTGATGACCCATTCGTGACCCTGATTTACGACTGTAATTTTAAGCTAAATCGAGGAGTAACAAGAGTTTTTCCCAACAGTGAGGTAGCCAGTGTTGTTTAATGACTTACACATTCATTTAACGGCTGCATCAGGAACAGCAGGAGTAGCTGTTCCTGATGCAGGGTAGTTAAGCAAAGTGAGCACAGAGGCAGTTTGGTCAGCTGGCAATTCAAACTGTCCTTTAATTGCTCCAAATTTTCCCCAAATGCTCCCATGTTTCTGACAAGCTCCAGAACAAAAGAAGAGGCACACACCTTCAGCTGCCTCTGGCTGCAAGTAGTTTCACATACAGTCTGATTAGAAAAGTATTTACTCAAGGTCACGTAGATAACAAGGAATGAAACACACGTCCAAAATCTAACAAGTCTGTGGAAATACAAGCTTGCCTGAGCAGTTTCAAAATAGAAGTCAAAATACAATCTGAGGTCTTTGAACACCCAATCACTGTTGTCAGTCAGTCCAATGGTCAGAGTTTCAGGGTTTCTTAGCAGAAATCACAACACAGAACAAGAGATCAAAGAGTTTTCAAGATTAGCAACAGCACACAAAACTCCAATGAATCAGTGTTTGTTCCCGACAAATACCTCTCCCCACAGCGTCTCCTTAAGTCTCAGCCTCCAGGTGTGCCATGTGGAGAGGGACGGGGCACTTTCCTCCTAAGTAGTTGAGCCTCCCTGTATTGTTCCCTCCTCTCCACTCTCCGTGTTCTCGGATCAGGAGTGGCCTTGCTCATGGCCTGAACTCTCATGTTCCTCCTGTCCCAATCCTGAAAGACCCTGGCCTGCCTCGGCCTGCTCTTCCCCACATTCCTCTGAAGCCACAGACACCTCTCCCTCGGCCTCCATAGAGTCCAGATTCAGGCTCCCACGGAGGCATGACACAAAGCAGGCTCCAATCCATAATTAGTAGGCCCATTAAAGTTGTATCCCGAGAACTAACTGTACAGTAGCCGAGGAATTTCACAACTCCTGCAAACAGAAATATCTGGATACTTTTACGATTTCTCTCATGTATGCGTCCTCTGGTGTATCACCAGGTGGGAATTCTGACTGAAACGTTTCCTACATTCTGGACACCCATGCGGTTTCTCTCCTGTGTAAGTTCTCTGGTGTATCACCAGGCGGGAATTTTGACTGAAACTTTCCCCACATTCCTGAATGGTTTTTCTCTTTTGTGAGTTCTCTGGTGTATCATCAGGTTGGAATTGTTTTTTTTTTTTTTTAAATATTTTATTGGTTTTCCAGTTTTACATATAAGTATTTAGAAGGCAATGTGATAATTGGGTTAAACAATAATTCAATAGTACAATCTTTAGTAGGTGAGATATCTCAGGTTACATCATCAAAAATTTCTTCTCTGTTTCTCTTAACATTTACTGTTTCATATTTAAGCTAATAAATTCCTAGTTCTATCAAAATTCAATATAAACTATTATCGCATTTATAAATACATTTTTGTTTATACATATCTTAATAAACCTCGATAAAAAATCAATGTCCTGTTATTAAATTTTACCTAATTTTAATTTTTAATTAAATATTTCCAATTTTATCTTTAATGCCATAGTATTATGGCATTAAAGATAATTATGGCCCTTTTTAGGGCCCCCAGAAGGGCGAACTCTGACTGATTTTTTTTTTCTTTCTCTCCCACTAGCTCTTGAAGTTAAAAGTCCATGCTTAGTAGGCATTTATAATCCAAGGTCAGTGTGATAAGTAGGCCAAAATATCTTCCTTTATTGTCAGCTGTTCTCCTGAACTAGGAATCAACTGGTGTATCACCAGTTGGGAATTCTGAGTGAACCTTTTCCCACAATCAGGACATTCAAAGGGTTTCTCTCATATGTTAAGTTCTCTGGTGTTTCACCAGGTGTGAATTTACAATGAAACCTTCCCCGGAAAGTGGACACTCACACGGTTTCTCTCCTGTGTGAGTACTTTGTTATTTACCAGGTCAGTGTCCTTCCAGAAACTTTTCCCACATTCAGGGCATTCAAAGGGTTTCTCATCTTTGTGAGTTTTCTTGTGTTTCACAAGGTTGGAATTTGCAATGAAAGTTTTCCCACATCCAGGACACTTAAACAGTTTCTCTCCTGTGTGAGTCCTCTGATGTATCACCAGTTGGGAATTCTGAGTGAACCTTTTCCCACATTCAGCACATTCAAAGAGTTTCTCTCCTGTGTGAGTCCTCTGGTGTATCAACAGTTGGGAATTCTTAGTGAACCGTTTCCCACATTCAGCACATTCAAAGGGTTTCTCTCCTGTGTGAGTCCAGGTTAGAATGACAACTGAGACTTTTCCCACAAACTGGACACTCGTATAGTTTCTCTCCGGTATGGGTTCTCTGGTGCTTTACTAGGTTGGAATTTGCAACAAAACCTTTCCCACAAAGTGGACACTCATACGGTTTCTCTCCTGTGTGAGTCCTCTGGTGTTTAACCAGGTTGGAATTGAGACTGAAATGTTTCCCACATTCAGGACATTCAAAGGGTTTCTCTCCTTTGTGAATCCTCTGGTGGATCACCAGATCGGAATTACGACTGAAACTTTTCCCACATTCAGGAGACTGAATGTGATACTAGATACAGATACTGGTGATACTAGAGGATCTTTAGGAATGACGCCTCAAGAAAAAATAAACAGCTTTCAGAAAGAAATATATTCTATGCTACAACTAATTCACCAAACAATTGTTGAATGCAAAGAGCACATAAAAAGAAATGATGAGACTAAAATCAATTTAGACAATATAAATGAGCAAATCTCAAATTAAATCTACAACTAGAAATTCCCAGATAAGGAATACAAAGTATGAACATAATCCAGAAATCAGAAGACGAAACAGGAAACTGATTTAGAGATGGTAGAGATAAAAGAAGGGAAATGTAAACAACTATATACAAACAAAATACTGCAAGACTTAGCTATGGTTCTGTCCAATTTTCCAACCCAAAATATTCCTTGTTTATACAACCCTGTCCTGGCCGCTACATCCCTCCTCGTTCCCCATTGTAGTTTCTTTGCTAAGCTTGTTTGTCTATTTCAGTCCGTTTCCATTGTACAGCAGATTCTATTTTAAATTTTTCTTTCAATATTAAATTTTGAAGACCTTTCATTCACTTCTATCAAGAGGAACAGCTTGCCTTCAGAAATCATGGGTGCTCCATCACTGGAGGCCTTTAAGAAGACACTAGACAGTGACTTATCTGAAATGGTATAGGTTGTCCTGCTTGAGCAAGGGGCTGGACT